TTTTTGTAGTCTTCCCCACTTTGCATCCTTCTTTCATTCTTATCTATCTTTTTCCACTCCTCCCCCCCTTTCTCTCTCTCTTTCTCTTCCTTGTCTGCCTATTCTAATATCGTTTTATCTTCTCTCACGCTTATGTATTTCTTTTCCCCTGTCCCACTTTGATATCTTCGTCCCATCCTTTGCTCTGCTCTCTATTTCGGTCAGACATTGTCTTGCCCACTCAACCCTTTTGGCCTCTCTCAGCTTCCCCTCATACTCCCATGGCCCATCGGCAGCCTACACTCTCATCTTTTTCCTTTTCGTTCTTCTTACTTTGTAACCTCATGTTACCCAATCTACTGCTAAAATCCACCTTATGTATGTTTCCCGTAGCGCCACTACCCTCTTTTCCTCTCCCCAGTCTCACACTTCCACTCTATACCATGTGTACTAGATTATCATATAGCCACATCCTCCTGCTGTAGTTATTATTGAAATATTTCTTTCCTACCCCCTAAACTTCTCTCATTACCTCTCCTGCCTTCCTTACTGTGTCCGCTATCTGTCATTCCATACTATTTTTTCTTTGCTTCTGTGCCTCGAATTCATCAGCTTTGTTTTGCCCTTGTTTATTTCTAATCCCGTATTCTTTACGTAGTACTTGAATGCCTCTATCACACATAAACGCCATAGCTCTCTTATTCTTCGTCAGAGGCACTATAGCGTCTGCCTATTGCAGGGTCTATAGATTGTTTCCCCTTATCTTGATAAGGGAATGAAACATCCCACCAACCTTCCCTTCTTTTTCGCCAATTCCCTGTTTATCGCGTAGTTGTGAGTACGTATATATTATCTACCGTTCCTTTTCCTCTCCCGAAGCCTGTCTGATTATCTGGGATTATTCCCTTCTTCTCTACCTCACTCTTTAATCTCTCCTCTAACATCATCGTTCCATCTTTGTAGCATTCTACCTTTTTTCCATCTCCCTTTTTCCTTATAGGTGCTACCACTTTCACCTACCATTCCTGTGGCCAATTCCTCCCACACTCTCCTGCATGCATCCTATATTTCTCTTTTTCCATTTCTTCCATCGTATTTCCAGACCTCGCTCACAATTCCGTCCACTCCTTTCGCTTTTTCTACCTTTAATATCTTTATCGGTCTATTTCTCCTGTTGCTAGTCCTTCTTCTCCTCCACTTTCCACTCTTTCCTCTCTATTTCTTCTTCTACCATTTTTTCTTTTGGCTTTACTTTTTTCAGAAATGCCCACACTTTCCCTTCCATATTTGCTTTGCCTACTTCGTTCAATGTTCTCTCTTATTCTCAATTTCTCTGTTTACACTCTTTATCTCACCATTTTCTCTCGCTCTTCCCTATTTCTCTTTTTTTGTCTTTTGCCTCCTCTACAATCTCCTTTACTTTTCTCCCTTAAATCTTCTAACCTTTACCGAATTACCTCCACTTCTTTCTACAGCAATTCTTGCACTTGAATTGCTTTTCTACCTATTCGTTCCATTCTATTTATACATATATCCCCTTTGTTCCCCCTTCTCCCTCTTCCTTCCTTGCTTTCATCGTTACAACTATCGATGAGTTGACTCAGATGGACTGATTCTATTTTTTCTTCTATTCCCATTCTCTCTATTCCCTCTCTCGTTCTCCTATCTCTTATCACGTAATCTGTAAATCCCTTCATTCATTATCTCTAGACCCATTTCCCTAACACTTGCAGCAACTTTCTTTCTTCCCTATTATACTTTTTCTTCCCCTATTGTGTTGAAGTCGTCTCCGACTATTAGATTTTCCTCTACTCCTTTGTCCATTCTTCCTCCCGTATTCTTGTCTTCCTTTCTAATACCCCTTGTGTGTATTTCCTAATTTCTTCTTCCTCTCTTCCTTATGCCCTTCTCTGCTTATCTTTCGTTGCCCATTGCTTTTTCTAAACGTGTCGTTTTGGTAGTTTTCCTTCCATCTTATCCCACATTTTTCCTCCACCCCTATGCCTCTAGCAATATCATTGCCTCCCACCTTTCCAATTCTTTTCGGAACTCCATATTCTTCCCTAATATACCCGTCACGTCACGAAATCCAATTTTTTTTCTGTCCATTCCTTCTTTCCTCCCTACTCTCTTTCCTTCTCTAATCCCCCGTTCTTTTCTCTCTCTCTCTCTTTCTCTCCTTCCACTCATTTGCCTCCTCATCTTTTAACACTTCTTCTCTTTCATCCCACCTACACATATATCCTTTCATATATCCTATGTTCACGTTCCTTCCTTTGCTTCTTTTCTGTTCTACAGTTTCTCTTAAACTCCAATGCATCCCCCGCCCCGCCCTACAATAGGTTATTTCTACTTTCTTCGTTCTTCCCGCCAGTGTTTTTTCCCTTGCATAATCCTTCTTTTCTGCCTTACTAGCGACTATTCTCCTCCTACTTTCTTCCCACTCTTTCTCTCTCTCTCTCTCTCTCTCATACTCTCTTCCCACTCCGTCTCATACTCTCTTCAATTTCTATTTTTTCGCTTACCAAACTAAACAATTTTTATGCCTCCTCTCTTTCGACATTTACGTCTCCCAACTTCATTTATTTTATTACTATATTCCTACTTCTTAATTCTCTCTTTTTTTCTCCTATTTATCCCACCTCCTTCACTTCCTTGTACTCCTCTCCTTTCTCTAACCTCCGGCCCACCTCCCTTCCTAATTCTATTTTCTTCAGTCTATTTTCCCCTATATCTTCCCAAGATTTCTTGTCTCTCTCCCTACTTTTTCCCATTTCTCTCTCAACCCCTTTTTTCATTATTTATTTTTTTCGTGATGCCTTCTATCTTTTCTTTTTTATTTCTGTTCTTCCTCTCACCTAATTCTCGTTCATTTATCTTATTTGGTCTACCATGTTTCTCATCTCTTCCCAACTGTTTTTCCAAATCTCAATCATTACCTTCTTTCTTTTCGTTTCTTCCCTTGTTGCTCCTTTCTGTGTGCTCTTACTCCCACTTTACCCTCTCTCTATCCGTATACTCTACTTTCTCTGGAGATCTACTTACCTTTAAACTTTTCCTAAAAGCCTCTACCCATTCCTCTTCTTTTCTATCTTCTTCTTCCCTGTTCTTGCCCCGTATTTTCTTTCCTTTTCTGTTTATCCGTGGGCATAAATCTTCTACTTGTGACAAACTACTGCTCCTGCTTTTCCCTGCTATCTCCAGCTTCTGTTATTATTCCTCCCTATTTTCATCTCTTCCTTATTCATGTTTTCCTCGGATTTTTTCCTTTATCCTACCTTACCGACCGTATCTTGTTTTCCTTCTTTGCACCTATCTTTCTTTTTTTCCACTCGACGTCACTACTATCGCCCTTGTCGTCTTTATGTTTTCTTTCCCGCCTGATTCTCTCTACCTTTCCGAACATCACCCTTTTACTTACTTCATTCACTCTGTTTCCCTTATCCCTTCCCTTGCCACACACCTCTCTCTACCCACTGCCATTTCTTTTCTTCCTCTGTATGCACCAACTATGCAGACCTTTTTCCACCCTTGAAAGACGAATCTTTTGTTGACCCATGTTTTCTTCTCGCTTTTTCCCACGTCATGAGAGCAATATGTATTCAATTTATAACCAAGTGGGAATAGTCTACCATTGTTGCGAAAAGCATCACAATGTACAATTATGCATTTCAGAAAGTGCACCACCGTCGAGCGACATCACATCAAACATTCAACTTATAATGTCCAAGGTCGCTTAAAGATCATTTTCAAATCTACTTCATAACCTGTGCAAGATACAATGAACAAAAAAAAATGTACATTACTTGTGCAAAAAATTGTGAAGAAAACTAAAGGAAGACATATGAGTCAACAAACAATTCAACTCTTACGATATCGCCTTTTGAAAATGATTTTAATTCTGCTAAAACAATTTTTATAACATTAAAAACAATGGTGATATTTATGGTGTCGCGATAATGTATTGTCATACCTCTTAAAACGAAATAACATTTTTGAAATTGGACCAGATTACTTGTTTAGTAAACTAATTCTTCCATCGTCCCAAAAAAATCAATTCAATTGCTCTAATTTAAAAAAAAAGTTATTCCATTTTAATGACAATACCTTATCGCGGCACTGCAGGTGGTCTCATATATTCGAAACACTCTGTACATTAGATATCCTTCAGAAACATCGAGTTTTTCGACAAACACGAGACTTGTATCGCAGTTATTTGTTGTTACATTTTTTAATACATTTGTATGGCTAGGGTGAACACGATAAATACATTAAACTATAATATTCGTAAAATTCTATTAAAACTTTACTCCCACGTCATACGAGTGGTCCTTCGAAAGTTCAATCGGAAATTGTACGTCAAATGATACACAAGGTTAGTCGTAGTTATTATTCGAATAAATATTCGAATACGATAGATGTAATTAAAATCAATTGTGTTATAGTTTCTGTAGGTATAGACTACAAATTGAAGAAAATATTTATAATGACGTATACCCTCATCTCTGGAAATTGACTTTGATATGTGTTGAGAGGCACGAGAACTTGATCCGCAAGCTTATGAGTGAAGTCTTGCCACAGCATGTCTAGATTTTGAGCTTGCACGTACAGTAGATCATGGCCGGTCCACTGACTCTCATAAATCTCATTTAACGAATCCATCAAGGTTTTTGAGGCTGCTTGCACCGCTGTAACAAGAAATTTTATCTATATAGATGATGACAGACGTTAGAATGAAAAAATGTATCATTCGTATCATATCTCGCCATTGAACTCAAACGAATCCTTCATTGACTTTTTCATGATCATATTTTGATTTCTACCGTAAGCTGTAACGTTGCAAAAAATACAAGTTATACGGAAATGGATGTTAGTGGACATAGGTTTCGTGCGCTCGTTGACTGAGCCACCTCACGCCAGCCGAACTCGCTTCTTATTGGTCAGTATTTTTCGTTAATAACTCGTAAACAAAGCCGTGGATTGCATTTTCGTTAAGAAAAAAGTTACTTCAAATGATCTGAAGAACCCCTCATTTCTGGACTGCGAGACATTTTCGGGACAGTCTGTAGAAATAATATATGTAGAAGAAGGCAAGTGTGAAGTGAAATAGCGATTCAGTAAAAACTCGTTCAACACTCCTATTCCGGTGGTTTTTCTCGCCAATGTCTTGCATTTCAACAAAATAATACCGGAGAATTCTAAATTGACGGTTTTTGTCTCTCACAGTACGAATATAAAGTTTCGGGGTATTGGACTGAGAGAGTTAATAGTCACGTGTAACATACAGCAACGAGCATATAAATAGAGAAATTTGAAAAACGGTGTAACTTTTTTGATAATACTTTTATTTATAATATTATCTATAATACTTTTTAAAATTTTTGCTATTACTTGGAACAGCAACAAAAAAATAAAAAAACTCATGTTTTTCAACTTTTCTATCTGAGCCTATAATGAAAATTTAAAAAATACATTTTGTAGATCTCGGTAACTTCTATGCATGCTGAAAATTGCATCGAAATCGGTTGACCTTGATAAGATTAAAGACTACAAATCGCGTAAATTGCAGTTTTTCACTAATTTCCACCAAAAACAGGTAATTTTTGCATCTTTCAGTGGCTGTAGCTTGACTATGCATCAACCGATTTCGATGAAATTTTCAGCATGCATTCCAAGTAATAACAAAATTTTAAAAACGTATTATAGTCATTGTCTAGTAGACTGGTCCCTCTATCATCTAAAAAAAACGTTTAAGTCATTTAGACCAGCTTGGAAGAAGTTATACCGTTTTTCACGTTTCCCTATTTGTATGTTCGCCGCTGTATAATGTATATTAATATTCAACCAATAACGACAACGATAACAATAACGATGAAAGAATGAATAAGAACTCGAACTGTCGCGTTGTAAAATACCGATGTGAACTGTTCGTCGTCACTCGGAGTGAATCTGCCCATCTTCGTGAACGCGCTAAAGTCGTTCCAAAAACAAACAGGCCAGAACACTCTACGCGTTTCAAGGTCTAATATGCACATTGGAAGAAGTTTTCCGATGATGACCAAGGCTCTGGCAATCGTCACTTTTATTGCCCAAACTCGAGTTCGACCTCCCACGGTGTGCACTTCACGAAAAAGGGAAAGTATCCCAAGAAATGACGCACACCTTTTCCAAAAAGAATACGCCACACATTAGTGAAGTGCTTTTTTTCTAGAAAATTGTAATCTGCCTAGATTCTTGCATCGAGTTTGTATCAAATCACCGACAATGTTAATTAACCGACATAGTGAAATAACCGACATGTTTTCACAGATAATGTTAATGAACCGACATGGTGAAATTATCGACGTTTTCATCGACACTGCTTTCACCGACTATAACTTTATGTTTACCTGCCAATCGTACTGACTGACTATCATTGGCAGGCAAACATTATCGATGAATTTACTACGTTGATTAATTAATGTTGTCCGTGAAATCATTGTCGGTCTGCAATCAAACTGGTACCCTGTCTCACAAGTTCTTCGAGTGTCTAAGGTGGGCGGCGCAGAGGGAGGTCCTAGCTTGCCAACTAGGTACACCCCTTGTTTTATTCTCCGAAATCCTGGGAAGATGTTAAAGACACCCGAGTAATGGGAAGCGGTGGCAGACTACTGCTTCACTATCGTGAGGGGTAAGGAGAACTTCAAGTGGGTCATGAAATAGCTGGAGTCCCGGTCGGGAAGCAAGAATTAGGTAATTTAGGTGAATGTATAATTCAGTTCCAGAGCTCGCCTCTCTAGTGACAGCTCGGCCAGTTCTTCGAAAGAGGTTAACTGACCCCCCCCCCCCTCACATACACACACACGCACGCGCGAGCGCGCGCGCGAATGAGCATAGTGAAGGGGCGTGTCCCTGATCCGACCGACTGCAAGTTGCAACCAGTGGGGCGGCACTAAATAAAGCGGGAGCAGTTCGGAGACATAACATTGCATTAATATTGAGTAATTATTGTTCAAAGAGTTAATTTCCTATTTCCTCATGTAGAAGGGCTCGAAAATTCTGATTCGGCCCCAGTTTCATAACGCATTGCTCACGTGAGTCAGTTGTGCATTTCTTTTACGTAGAATATGCTTCCAAATTCAAAGGTTTAGTTTTATAATAAAAGAAGCAAGGTGACCTTGAAATAACCTTGAAAACACCCTCGCATTAAAAAATTAGTAGTGCCATTTGACTCCTGACTCGAAATACTAAAGGACGCTTGTCAGTTTGTTTTCTTATATTATACCTCGTGTCTAGGAGATTTTTTACAATATCATAATCTGCATACAGGAGGTATTTCATTTAATTATACATATACAGGGTGTTCCACAATTCTTTTAGCTACCGAAAATAAGGGCCAGTTGAGGTCATTTGAAGTAACTTTTCCCTTTGCGAAAATGCAATCCGCGGCTTTGTTTGCGAGTTATTAACGAAAAACACTGACCAATGAGAAGTGAAACGTGCTTCGACCGTGGAGCGTGATAGAAGATGGGGGGTTCCGTGCTACGAGCGAATCAATGAACAAGTCACGGTGCGCGAATTTCCGAATTTTATTTTACTACGTTACAGTGATAATTCTAAGAAAAACGCTATTCATCCTTATTTCAGAATGCCTGAAGAATATTTACTAATTTTTTGAATCCGAAATAATAAGTAATTTAACCGTGACGGCCGTTTTAATTTTCTAGTGTGCATGACACCTCGTGTGTACCATATGAAATTTTTAAGCAAGGTATACAGTGAATTTTGATGGGAAACAGTTGAAATTTCGTTCGTAGGAAAACGAAATACTGTTGGCCATCGTGTCAGTCTTCTGTAGTTCGTCCCGTCAACGCGGTACATACGTGTCGTTAACGGTGAGAACTTCAAACGCGTCGCATAAAAAAATCGGCTCTTTTCAGAGCCATATATATTAACCCAGGAAAGTTGGTCCATAAATATTATTGATAAGTGATCAGTATTTGGTGATAATGCAGTGAAGATGTCTCTGGACATCTTCCTGTTAGTCACCGTCGGATACAGGTCAGCTGTGCAGTTCATCATACATTATATGCGGTCAATGCACTATCCTCTTGCACACATTTCCGTGCATGAAGTGGATTTACAACTAAATGGGTGAGTTTTTTATTGATAATATTCTTCATATTTCTCTAAAAAACAAATCCCATAGTCTCTTAACGCGATTATTTATTATTAAATTAGCTTTGTGAATCATTCGTTGAACTGTGTTCGGACACGGAATTATTGAAATTAAAATATTATTTACGTACTTTGTTAATCTTCACTGTACACTTTGCTTAAAAATTTCATGTTACACACGAAATGTCATGCACACCAGAAAATTAAAACTGCCGTCACGGTTGAATTACTTATTATTTCGGATTCGAAAAATTAGTAAATATTTTTCAGACATTCTGAAATAAGGACGAATAGCGTTTTTCTTAAAATTATCACTGTAACTGAGTAAAATAAAATTCGGAAGTTCGCGCACCGTGACTTGTTCATTGATTCGAACGCAGCACGGAGCTCTCCATCTTCTATCGCGCTCCACGGTCGAAGCACGTTTCACTCGATCGATCAACTATATTGTAATTTGAGCCTTCACTTCTCATTGGTCAGTGTTTTTCGTTAATAACTCGCAAACAAAGCCGCGGATTGCATTTTCGCAAAGGGAAAAATTATAATACTTCAAATGACCTCAGCTACCCCTCATTCTCGGCTGTTAAAATAATTGTGGAACACACATAGTAGTATTTAGTTCAAAGCTAAAATAAACTTTAGTAAAAGAATATAAAAAGCTTTAGTAAACACAGGTCGAAAGGTCAACCGTTTCTGAGATATAAGCATTTTTGTTTATATTATTATCATTATTATATACAATAAAATCTAAGATATAAAAATCTTTATATCTCAGAAACGGTTGACCTTTCGACCTGTGTTTACTAAAGCTTTTTTATTCAGTACAATGTATCATATTAGACATAAAAATATTGAATGGCTTTTTTTTAACACCCTGTATATATGTATATGTACTCCTAAATGTGAATATTTACAGAAGTGTAGACACATATGTGGGATCAGAGCTTTCAAGAATGTTAATACGATATTTACTCTTTGAAGAAGATTACAAGAACATAAACGAAACCTTTAACACTGTGACTACGGCCATCATTGCTCTTATAGTTATAGAAAAACATTAAAGTGAAATATCTCAACAGCGTAAGCTCATTTTGACGAACGATATGAGGCTTTTATTGCACTATATGTATAGTCTAAATAATACTCCGTCTTATCCTAAAAGCGATTTTCACATTAGTGGTCTCTCTTTGTCAATTGAAGCTATCAACGCTGCTCCCAAAGTGTTAAATGGAGCTTTATGTTTTCATTTAGCAAGGTATGTATGCATGTAAGGTAGGTATGTATGTGGCCCATTCCGGGATGACTTCATTGACCTATAATATGTTGATCTTTAAAGGTTGCTCAAAAGGTCATTCATTACCGTTTAAAACTTACTTTCGTCAAATATTCTTGAAGTTATTTTTTATCTCCTGTATTCAAAACGACCACATTGAACATAAACGCAACGATTTATTTAATCGTTGAACGATGATTCTAGCTTTAAATAAAAATATAGAATCTTCTGCAAATGCATCTCCAATGTTAGTTGTTA